GAACCAAGATACATCAGGTACAGGTACAAGCACCCAATGATAAAAGTAAATGTATTGTATACCTAAAATGTACCTATACATTGATTTAAAAAATATGTATATATAACTCCTCAAAGATCTATTAAGTATGTCACTATGTCTAATAGTTTGGGTTTCATCTATTTGATAGGAGATCATATGCATGAAAATAATGATACGTGTAGCTAATGAAAGGCTACTAAATTCATAAGAACATTGGAACTCATTCCGACAACAGCAGTTTCAAGGATTGGAAGCAAAAAAAAATTAAGTATATTTTTATTTGAAAAAAATAATCCTGATTCTGTATGGAAAATAGATACAAGAAAACCTGATGGGAAGCTAGATACAGCTTTTCAGTTTAAATGGAAAAATTCAAGAAAGAAATGATACATAATTTATGCATTGATCTCAACTTTAGAGGTAGAATTTGAAATTTAAACATTTCCATATCCTTTTTTTATTTGGGGGATAACATAAAGTAGGAACTAGAGTCAGGTGTGGTAGTGCACTTTAATAATCGCAACGCTTTGGAAGCTTGAGGCAGGAGGATCACACACTCAAGCCCAGTGTGGACAACCTAGTGACTTATTGAGGCCCTGTGTCAAGAGAAAAACAAATGTGCCAGAGATGTAACCATGAGAAGGCCGGAGTACAATCTCCAGTAGCACACACCCAAAAAAGGAATTGGCTTTATTTGGTTAAGACCAAAAATAAACATGGTGGTTAAGGCTGTGGAATATAAGATCATATTCATTTTATAGCATGGAAAACTTCATGAATTAACTGTGATATTTCCTGAGGTGGAGAAAGAAAATATTTTTTTTCTGAGTAAAATTAAAAGGTATGAGAAACTATTAACATTTAATTTTGAATATAGGGTTTTAGTATGACTTATATATTCAATATTCTAATACCATTATGTGTTTGGTTTCAGAAGACTATATGTAGATGAAGAAAAGGGCAAGAATTGTATCATAGTCACAAAGGGGGCAGATCGGTGATTATTATTCTGAAATTTAAAGTAAATATCCCAGGAAAAGAACAGTTCAAGATGCACAATTTAGGTACACTACGTGTTAATCCCAAAACACAGCTGATCGAAACTTCAGCACCACAGAAAAACGACCCCAACACACAGTTGTCAGGTGGATCACATGGGCTTGCTGGGCAAGCATGCTTTGCAATCCTACAGCATTCCACGCTCAAGAAGTGAGACTATCCTACCTGTGCACCGAGGGAGAGGTATTTTTTATATACAATGTAGATTATTCTGCACAGAATCTATTCTCTTGATTACTCTGTCCTGAACATGTTCCTTGGCTCCTTGGTGAAGTTGTGTTTTTAAAATTTGAACCCACTTTATGTCACCTGAATTTATCACAAGGAATTGTGCTGGAGATAATCAAATCATAAAATTTTCAGATTTCATTTTTCTACATTAATTTCTTAAAAATGAACTTGAAAAAGTCTTTATAATCGCTTGGTGTTTTCACAAGGTTTTGAAATTAAGAACTTTCTGGGGCTACCTTTCCTCTTTACATCAAAGAGCAACCTCCTGATATGAACATGTTTGTGCAAATTATTTTTATTTTAATTATTTATATCTGATTGATAAACAAGCAGCACTGCCAAACGAAATTCAAGGGGGTGGCCTTAAGTGATGAAAACTGGTGGAGATGTATAAATAGCGTTTTATTTTTATAACAGCAGAAATTAACATTCACTTGCTCCCAAAGTAAAGGCTTGAGCCAAGAACATTGTGTAACGCTAACTTGAAATAAAATACTTTAACATTTTGCTAGGTTTTAAAATCCTATTATTCTGATTCACCAGCTTGGATGATAGATTACTTTTCATCATCCATATTATGCATGAATTTATAATTGCTTCCGTTAACTATGCGGAGACTATTTAAAAAAACAAGAAAGAATATACAACTAAACTCGCTTTGACATTTTATTGGCTTCAAAAAGAACACTAATATAGCAATATGTGCTTAAAGATGGACAGACATTCGTGTATGTTAACAGTACTTTTAACCTCATAAGCCTTGTCTGAAATGAAGTCCAAAAAAGTTTGTCGTTCTGAGTGATGTATTAGTTTGCTAAGGCTACGATAGCAAAATACCACAGGTGGTGGCTTAAACAATGAGATGTTAGAGTCTCACTATTCTGCACTCCGCAAGAACAAGTTTTCAGCACTGTTGGCCTCTCCCGAGGACCGTGGGTGAAAGGTGACTTCCAAACCTTTCTCCTTGGCCTGTATGTGTAGATTGCCCCCTTCTCCTGGGCATTCACTTTTGTCTTCCTCTGTTTGATGTAAAGTGACACAGGTAGTGTCATTTGACCTAATTTCAGTGGAATTGCCTCTGTAAGGTCCCTGTCCCCAAATGCAATCATATTTTCAGTTACCAGAGGTTAAAAACTCAACATTTGTGCAGGGGGTTTAGCTCAGTGGTTCCACTACCTGCCGCCCCGCAAGCACAAGGACCTGAGTCCCCAGTAGTAAAAAAAAACAAAACAAACAAAACCTCAATATATGAATTTTGGGGAGAGACACAATTCAGCCCATAACACTTTACGCTCAGTTTCTCCAAAATTCATGTCTCTCTCACTTGAAAGACACATTAATCTCAGGCCAACCTAGCCGAAAATCTGAACTATTCCTGCATTACATCTAAAATTGCACCTGAATATTATCTAAATCAAGTGAGAGTGGAACTGGAGGTATAAGTCATATGGTGACAAAATTGTCCTCCAAGGGGCCGGGAATTTAGCTCAGTGGTTCCGGTGCCTGCCTCAAAAGCGCAAGGTCCTGAGTTCAATCCCCGATACCAAAAAAAAAAAAAAATTATCCTCTGAATTTGGACCTGCAAAACCAGATATGTTATCTGTTTCTAGAATATAATGTTAGAACAGGCATAAGATGGGAAAGACAGGTTCATTCATATAGGGGAAGTAAAAGATTTTGTTCCCAAGAAAAAAACAGAAGGACCAATTCCATTATAAGACAAATCTTGAGTGAGTCGCTTTTTGTGGCTGCTCTGCACATTCAGCCTACAGCATCCTGACCCCCTGAACCCAGGACTAGCTCACAGGCAGGAGAAGACAACCCCATCCACTGGGCCAGGCCTTCATTTCCTTGTTAATTTAAAAGTTGCATGGCCACCCAGGAGGCAAACTGGCCTCTTACCGTGTTTTTTCCAGGTCTTAGACTTAGATTCAGAGAGAGCTGAAAACAATTCTTAGCATTTGTGAACTGACAGCTGATGCTAAAACTACTTACACTTAGAGTTTAGGGTCCTTATCAAGTGTGGATGAAAATACATCCAAGAAAAGTATTTTGGAAACTAAAATAAAATAAATGATAGAAAGGCACTATACCATCCCCTTCACAGAATTCATTATTTTTATTAAGGGGAATTATTTACTGAGAAGTTAAGCCAGATGAATCTTAGACTTTTTTGCTTCCTTCAAAGGCTGTGACCCATAATGTCAAGTAAAATTGATGACGATGATATCATGCTCTCTGTAAGCCTTCTTAATTCCTTACACCTACTTAGAACTGCAGAACACCACTCTTAAGGAAAGGAATTGTGGTGGAAATGAAGAAGCAATCAACTTCATGTGTAGATTGTGAGATTTATTACAATTCCAATTCTTTTTTTAATACTTAACCTTCTTAAACCACTGGATCATTCAGAAAACAGGGTCTTTCTATCCAAGGACTTTGTAGGGCTCTAGACAGAGATCGTTGCTCCTGCTGGCTCCAAGATATGTGAGTTGTAGGGAGAACAACACTTATCAAGGCTGCAGAAGCTAAGATCCACTTCCTGGGCTATAATTTCAAGCAGATGAGCATCGCAAACTCAGCTCGATCTCCTGTCGTCTAAGTAGTGCAGGACCTGTCTCTTTGGCTGTGTGTTAGTCTCACCACCTGTGAAATAAGGATGGTGCCATGGCTGTATGGGCCACCTAATTCAGAAAAAGAAAAAAACATAGATGTGAATTTTGCATTCTGTAAATCGGAGAGGATAGTACAATTATTTATTTGTATAGCATCCATTTTTTTAAAAAAGCCCAAATCCCGAGAAGCAAAAACTAAAAAGGAGAAAAAGGTAAGATTTCAAATATCCCTTCTGCACAAACCACCAGACAGATCATAGAGATAATAGAGACTTACATTTTTTACCATATCCCAGGATATCTTTGTTGTCTCTTTATATACATAAATACGAACACACAGACACACACACATACACTATAGTACTGGGAATTGAACTAAGATTCTCTGCACTGAGTTACATCCCTAGTGCTTTTTAATTTTTTTTAAATTTGAAACCCTTAGTGTCCTAGTCTGTGCTCAAACTGTGATCCTCCTGCCTCAGCCTCCCAGAATGCTGGGATTATAGGTGTGAACCACCACACTCCTGGCTCCTTTCAATATTTTACAAAACAGAAGAGTGGGTTGCCAACAAGATCATGGATACTTGACACCCTAACCTTAAAATATAACATTTTTTACTTTACTGTTTGTCATGATTTTATACTATACTCATATTTGTGTACCTGATGTTTTATCTAACTTGTTTTTGGGGAAAAAAATCCTGGAAAAATTAAAATTCCTATGTAGATTTTGCCTGCAAAACAATCACAGATCTACTCAGAGTGACTCACTTGTCAATCCGCCAGCTAGCAACACAATTAATTGGCTGTGCTGTCACCAGCTCTGGAAGCCAGCCTGCTCAGTCACGAGGAGTCATTCGCCCTGAATGTGAAATTTACTTCATGTTTATTTGATCAAGAAAGAAGATTTTCTGCATGGGCTCTCTACTTCTTCTTTCATCATTTTGTCATTTAAAAATATAATATTTTCAAGTTCAGTAATTCAAGTGAATGTATTATATTACAACATGGTTACTTTCAGCAACTATAATACTGTTGCAAAATAAAAACTTTTTTCATGAATATTAGAAAATTTCAAGTTGACAGATAAAAACTTATTTAAAAATAAGGATATATATAGATACATGTATATATGCATACACACATATGTGTATATATGTATGTATGTATATATACATATATATGTATATATTCATTCTCCTTGTCCCCAGATGAAACATTTTTATAAAACTTGTAGGAACTAATATGAGGTAAAACTGAAGAGGAGAATATTTAAAGAACAAATTGAGAAGGAAAGTCCACTTTCAATAAGATAATGGCAAGTGACATTTAAGTCTCTAGGGAGATAGATATAAATACCTTAGCTGAAGATTCTTAAAATTTAATAAGTTAAATGACAAGAAAACCATAATCCTCATCTAAAAATTAAGATTAAGTACCATGTTGTTTTGATTGATGTAATTTTTGCAGTATATTTTATAATTGGATAGTGTGATACCTCCAATTTCGTTCTTTTTGTTCCAGATCTTTTTTAGCTATTCAGAGCCTTTGGCAGTTTCATACAAATTTTAGGTTTGGTTTTCCTATTTCTGTGAGAAATATCATTAATATTTTGATAGAGATTGCATTGAATCTGTTGATCCTGTAGGTAGTATGGACCTTTCAATAAAATTTATTCTTGCAGGTCACAAAAATGAGATATCTTTCCATTTATCTGCATCTTCTTCAATGTCTCTCATCAGTATTTTACAGTTTGCAGTGTAGAGGTCCATACTGGGTAAATAATGGCATTATTTTATATCCTATTCAAAGTTTACTTCTGACACTATTTGTGAATTTGAGGAATCCATTAAACTTTTTGAAATAATAGTCTTATCATGCCATGCAATAGGGGAAAATAAGTATGATAGACAATTTTGGTTATTATACTGGAAAAACTGCTAAGAATCATATTTACATGTGATATAAAATTATTATTCTTATTATGTAAATATGATAACATTAACTACACATTGAAGATTATTATTACTATTATTTTATTTATCTATTTATTTTGGTACCAGGGATTGAATTCGGGTCCTTGCACTTGCACGGCAGGAGGCGACACCACTGAGCTAAATCCCTGGCCCCAACATTGAAGATTATTTTGACAGAATAAGAGACTGCCACACAGTTGCAAAGAAATACAGATGATCCAACTCACCTTTCAACCAGCCTTCCTAATGGTCTTCTCTTTGTAGCAATTGTGAAATACCAAAACCAGGAAATCTATGTGGTATAATGCACACAGTTCCTGTAGATTTCACCTTTTCCACAAGTATACATCATTTGTATGCCCAGTCTACCCAGTTCCATCACATGTGCAGCTTCATGCAATCACAACCACAAATCTGTCCTACCAACCTTCAAATCCCTGCTTCTGATAACCATTAATATGCTTTTCATCTCTCCTGTTTCATCTCTCTTTTTTCAGGATAGAAGTTATATTTTACTAGTATATATTTGAAATACCTACTAAGTAGATTCACCGTGGAGAATTGATACATACGCATATTGCATCTTGATTTTTTATACTTACCTTTCCCATCTCCCTCCCATCTCTCTCCATCCCCAGACCCCCTTCCCTTCCCCACAAAATTTATTGCCCTACTTTCTACCAACTATGTTTCATTTTTCTCCCTAAATGATTTTAATTTTGTGTTTCTTATATGAAAGAAACCATGCAATATTTATTCTTCTGTGTCTGATTTATTTCACTTAGCATTTTGTTCTCAAGGTACATCGATTTTCCTACAAAAGACTCAAGGTTATATTTCCTATGGTCAAGGAGTACTCCTTCGTGTATTGTTATGGCTTGTTTCTAGATGACTCCCCAAAGTCTCATGTTCTCATAGGTGGGACTTTTGGGAGATGGCTGGATTAAGGCATGTGATACTGGGATTAAGGAGGGTGTGGATAATGGAAGCCCCACCCTGGGTGTAGATGGCACCAATTAACAGGCTTGCAGCCTGTGGACAGAATACAGAGGGACAGACTTGGTTCTTCACTCTCTCTTGCCTGACTGCCAAGGGTTATTTCTCCTCTGTGACGTGCCTTTGCCATGCCACCCTTTCTCAGAACCAACCAATTATGGACTAAAATCTCTAATAACTGTGAGCTGGAATAAACTTTTCCTCCTTTAACTTTGGATGTCTGGTATTTTGTCTCAGGAACAAGAAAAGTAACTAAGATATGTATATATACAGTATTTTCTTTATTAATTCACCTGGTGATGGGCAGATAGGCCACTTCCTATATTTACCTATTATGAGGTGTGCTGCTATAAACATAGGTGTTCATGGATCACTGTAATATGATGTCTTTAACTCTTTCGGGAAGATCCCTAGAAGGGGAATAGATGGGTCGAATGGAATTTCTAGTAATAGTTTTTGAGGAACCTCCATCCCAGTTTCTGTTGAGGTTCTTCTAGTTTACATTCCCACCAACAACATAAAAAGGTTCCATTGTCCCCAAAACGTTCCCAGGATTTGCCGCTTTTTAAAATTCTTGTAGATAGTCATTCTTTCTGGAGTTACGCTTGTCTCTCTTACTTTGTTATATCAAGAGTGTTATATGAAGAGAAAACATATACGACAGTGTGAGATTCATTTCTTTCACTTAGTGTGATTTCCTTGAACTCTATCCAAGTTTTTGTGTGTACCAACAAGTTTGTGTCTTTGATTGTTATGTTGTATTCCATGATGTGAAGATATCACAGTTGGCTGCCCTATTCTTCACCCATTGAAAGACACTTGTGTGGTTCCACTTTTTTTTTCAACTACTAATTAGGCTGTTATGAACATGTATTAGCAAGTTTTGTGTGACTATAAATGCTCATGAGTATGATTAGATCATATAGTGAACACAGTTCCTTTCTAGCTCCAGAGAACACTGTTAACCTCCTGTATGGTGGGAAACAAGCTGTTTCCAAAAATTTCTAATAAAGTCTCTTTTCCATTTTCAATGTATGATCGTTATTATAATAAAGAATTTGAAGATTTTCTAACTGACTTAAGAGCATATGCTATGGAACTGTGTGCATATGAGACCCTACCACTCTAGAAAACATTTCAGTAGCTACTTACTTGTGATGGACAAAGCCTCACACCTGTGTATGTTGGAATATATTTCCCATTCTAATTTTGCACTTATTTATTTCCAAGATTCATCACACTTCTTATCTTCATTTGAACTTCTATAGCAGCCATAAAGCAATATCACCAATTCCAAAATCTGCCATATTTTCTAGATCTTCCTTATTTTTCACAAACTGCTATATGTCTGGACCCTTAATTTCTTTTTTCACGTTTTGCTCTGGACCCAGCACAAGCATCATTTTCCTGGAAACCTACTTTCTTTTAAAGGCAATTTGGTTGCTTCTGATATTCCTTTTCACCAAACCAGGCCTCTGTCATAGTGCATATCAATTTCACAGCAGTTGTAGATGTGTGTGTGTGTATGTGTGTGTCTTTCTTTTCTGTCATGTTATAAGTTCTTCTAAGCCAATCTTCCTAGACACAAAGTGGGGCTTAAAATTAGATGCCTTTGCAATCAGTGATTACTCAGTAAAGGAATCCATTCAGAGTAAATGCTGAAGGATGGCTACATTAAAATTTCATTTATCAAAGAAGAAAAATGAAACAACACTTCATAATGGCTGAGAAAGCAGAATTTGAAGTCAAATTGCTGAAAGTGCTTATTCACCCAATCCCTAGCAGAATGAATTGACCATTAATATGTTCTAATGCTTCATCTTAAATATAAAAACAACTAAAATTAGTTTATACTGTTGCAAGAATCAAATAGGATAGTGTATGCATGCAGTGTGGTTCAAAGCATTTTTCTATAATGGACCTAATTCTCCTTCCTTTCCTGGATCCAAGCACCTTTCCATGCCCTGCTTTTCTGACCTGGGCCTGGCCCATTGGCCACAGCATGATTAACAGACTTGACACAGACACAGGCTTTGAAGGGCGCTCATGCACTTCCACTTGTACACTTGCATCTCTTCTCCTGCCATGAGAATTTTG